TGATAGCCATGTCCTGAGTTATTCAGTATTGCTGACAGAGGAAACAGTGCAATAACAAATAATAATGGTGACAATGAATCTCCTTGAAACATTCCTCTCTTGATATTAACCTCTCCCAGTCTCTCATCATTGATCTGCAACTGTGTCTTCCATTGTGCCACCGATCTTTGCACAAATTTTGTGATGTTTCTACTGACTCCTGTTATTTCTAGGCACTTGATTATCCAGTCATGTGGCAGAGAGTCAAATGCCTTTTTGTAGTCAATCCATGCCACATTCAGGTTGGTCTTCCTTTTCTTGCAGTTTTCCAAGATCATTTTGTCTATTATTATTATTATTATTATTATTATTATTATTATTATTATTATTATTATTATTATTATATTACGTACAATTTTCAGTCAGACTCATGGGTTGTGGGAACAAAGAAGAGTCAACCTCTCTAAATATTTATTAACACGTTGAATCCTATGGGCATTCCACTCCAAATTTCTTCCCTTTGAATTCTGATCTGAGACCACTTTGAATTCATGTGGGCTACAAAATGTTACCTCTAGTAATTTAGAATTGAGCAGTCTGCATGTCTGAGCAGTAATGTGTGCACAGGGATTGCTTTTTAATGATAAATCTAGTTTGTACTTTCAGTTTGTAGATATGTCCATGAAGTTACCAGGTGCTGCTTTCAACTTGAAGACTTTTAAGTTTATCTTATCTTGCACCTATTTTAGTCTTGTTCACTGCTAAAATCCATTTGTCCTTGGTTTGCTCTTGTATTACAGCTGTGCAGTTTCAAGGTCTTTGTGAACCACAAAAAAGATTTGGAGGGCAGGTGCTGATTATGGACTGCTCATGATTTAAAGTTTCAGCAGCTTAGGTGATAATAAACAATGCCCTTTTACTGTTCCAGAAACAGTAATGTAGTATAACATATTGGATTTGTTGAGATTAATAAAGAATTTTAAAGATGTAATTCGTTACACAAGTTAATTTTGTATAGCAGAGAGCTAGCAGTTGGACCATTATCAGGCTTGCTTGTATGTTGTGTTGATAATTGTTATTGGTCACCTTGAGTGCAGAAGAAAAATGGAATAGGAGTATAATATGTGATATGTTTCAAAAATTGTCTGCTATCTCTCTCTAATAAGATAGCATGGAAAGATGACCTATACTACATACATGGAGCTCAACATAGAATCATAGAGCTGGAAAGGATCTTGGAGGTCTTCTAATCCAAAGCAAGAGTTGTTATTCCATCTCAGAAAAATAGTTGTCCAATCTTTTCTTGAAAGCACCAAGGATGATGCACTCACAACTCTGAAAGGCAAGCTGTTCCATTGACTTATTGTTCTAACTGTCAGGAAGTTTCTCTTTTGTTCCAAGTTGGATTTCTCTCTGGGTAGCTTCCACTCATTGCTTCATGTCCTGCCTCCAATTTTATTGTTTGTTTTGTGGGGGATGAGACTTTACTGGGTTTTCCTTTGCTATTGCTTTCATCTTCATTTCTTCATCCTCCTATTAAAAACATGAATACAAAATCCAATACAGTAATGTATCTGGCATTTGAAATAAATTTTGGGTTTGATACTCTCATTAGCTGCATTTTGGCACTTTTCATTGCATCACTCAGGCACCATGATTTAAAAGCCAACTACAGCTCATACAATTTGCATTTCCTAATATTGTGATAGGGAGATATTACAAGTTTTATTTTTGCTTCACAAAACAGATTACTACTAATAATATGGAAGAATAGTAGCTATTTAAATGGGTTAGTGCAATTATATTTGTCCAATAACACTCAGAGCTTGCTGTCCTTTGACCTTAGACCTTTCCTAGCCTACTAGAAACTGCCATTGGTGTACTTTAAGTATATTTGCATCCAAATTGATTTTTTTAAAAGTTTTCCAGTGTCTGCTGAGGGCATTGATTATATTGGCTCCATTAGCTGATTTTATAGTATTTGCTGAAGCATATAATAAATACTTTTTAAAGGCTGCCCTGTGAACTGAACACAACAGAGCTTGGAGGCTTTAGCCAATCATTTTTTCTTCCCATGAGAAAAGTCATAAATTCTTGTATATAGTGTATGTCAATATCATTTAAATATATTGTAGCGAGATCTCTTATTATACCGTACAATGCTTAACTAGTGTGTTAGAACTGCCACATAGCCCAGCAATGGGAAGACTTGTTTTTGTTCCCTAACCTGAGCTCCAGAGATTTTCAAAAGGTAAGTGCACTATTGGTAACTTGAGGTAAGGAGCAGAGGATGGGATCTAATAGGGGTGGGAAGCATGGTGGAAACCTTGGGAGACCCATATCAGGGCCTGCACCATATCTCCCGGGGCTTCCACTGGAGCCCTGAGGCACCCCAAACTCAGCTTAATGACCTACATGTTCATTTAATGACTACATCGGGGAGAGCTGGATGGAGGGTTGTAAATAATGTGACCACTTAATGGCCATCACAGTGTCTGACCATAAAGGGCAGGTTCAATTATTATCATGAGTCAAGGACTAGCTATGTACCATATTGAATAAAATCTTGACATTATTGGAAATAATAGTCTGTATACTATAACTTTTCTCAAAATTTTCTACATATTTCTAAATAAAATAATTTAGGTAAAGATTTTATTAATAACAGCTAAGTTTCTTTCTCCCCCTGCTTACTCCAAAGTACTTCAGTATAAAAATATCAATAAGAGAAGATATATTAGTAGTTTTATTAATAAAGGAGTATATTTGTAGCTCAGAGTTGAAGAGAGGTGTGTTCTCTGAGCTTGGTTGTTTTCTTGCAGATGTTTCATTACAACTAGGCAACATCATTAGTGCTACTACTATTAATGCTACTAACATCATTAGTACTATTGCTTACTATCATTAGTAGTAAGAAGTGGGGTTTGTTCTCAGTTTATATTCTAGTGGCTTGCCCTGGGGCAGTCTTAGAGATTCTTTGGTTGGGTTTTTGACTTAATTTAATTAAATTAAACATTAGAATGTAATGGCCATATTTGAATAGGTTCGTTGATCAATAACCAACAATTATAGGAGCTGTATGTGCCTGAGTATTTTAGGTTGTAGGATATACCAGCATACCAAACACTGAAAGCATGGGAAAGATAACATCATAATTCCCGATGAAGGCAATTTATCCACCCATCGCAAGGTCAGAGAGATGGAATGATGGAGAGAACAACTTGCCGACGAAACAACGGATTGACAACACATTCCATAGGTAGAACAGAAGAAGGGGGACGAGAAATGCACCTCACAGACGCCCTAAGTACATGCACCCCAATCCACCTCACAACGATAAGAGAAAGCGAGATAGAAGGATGCCACACCCTATTGGTGACCTCGCAATGGGTGCCCGTGAGCGATTGATAGTAGACCACCCCTTGGGAGCTTGCATGCGAGCAAGAAAGACAAGAGAGTTGTCAAATGGTGGAGCAGAACTAAATGTGTGCCTTGAGGCAACCTGGCGAGGGAGGCATGAGGCTCGTAATTGGTGGGAAAGAGGAAGGAGGATGAGAATGAGTGGCTGGAAGAAGATCCCCAACACACCCTGGTGCATCCCCCAAAAGGGACAGCGCTCCCAAACAGAAGAGCAGACATGGAGACACGCTTGCCGGAGGCTTGCTGGACGAACACCTGGACCCGCTTGGCAGGCCGGCCCGTGAACGCCTGCACACACGCAGGAGCGACAGGACAGAAGCAAGAAGACCGCGCTGAACACCCAGCCTGCTGACAGCTCCACAGGGGAAAAACAGACATGCCCCGAGATAGAAGCGAGGGGGGAGAACGAGCGAAAGTGCTCAGCACAATGTGACAGCTGGATGCATACGAGAGAAGGGATTGGGGGGAGGAAAGGGGAAAAGGGAACAGCAACTTGGAAACTACCAAGGGAGCAGCAAATGCATGCCCTTTAAAAACAAAACAATTAGAGACCTTGAGTGGACCAATGACCAAGTCGAAAAGCCGGGCGCAGAGCCGACCGGTAACATAAAGAGAACTCCCATTAACTTCCTTTTATGCTCTGACGATGTCGGCAGTGTTGGCTGACGAAAGCACTTGTATTAAACAGTTTTTAGTTTGATATTATCCTGGTTACTTACCGTAAATGCCGGCGTATAAGACGACTTCCACGAGCGCTGAAATCGGCGCCAAAGATGGGGGTCGTCTTATACGCCGAGTCGTCTTATACGGCGGAAATACTGGTAGTTTCCGGCGTATAAGACGACGTTCTAGGAATGCGGCCCGGCTATAAAGACGGGTCGTCTTATACGCCGGGTCGCCTAATACGGCGGCATATACGGTACTTCTATTGCATCACACACACACAAACACAAACACACACACACACACACACAGAGAGAGAGAGAGAGAGAGAGAGAGAGAGAGAGAGAGAGTATTAATTCTATACAGTAGATAATGTCTGAATCATGATTTGAAATGCAAACACAGTTAGAGCACATGGACCCTTGCAGTTAGAGCCACATTTTCCCCATTCAGTAATAGATGTAATAAAGAGGATCCCCTGAGATCATTGGAGAAAATCAGTAACAAATTTTAAAGACTTTTTGTACATTTTTAGTGTTCTTACCTCTCATGGATTCTGTTGTCATCCTTAAGCTTGCCTCAGCTTTGCCCCTTCTATTGCTACAATAGCTGCTTTGTATGCTCACACAAAGTGATATGGCAGTGATGTACTTTATGATGATTATCAGTTTTCTTCATTGATATCAACAGCAGATATTTTAAATCTCAGTGAAGTGCCAGGGTTCGGTTTATGGTTTTATAAATTGGGTTACTGAAAATGCCTCCATTTTCCATTTTTAAGATCAGCTTATGTCAATGGTGGCTATTGTATTTCACAATGTGGCTTTTTTTTTTTAGTTTTTTGTACTGAGAAAAAATATACTTGTAAATGGTTAAAATATTAATAATTGCAGAGAATAATTCAGATTTATTGATAAATCTACCTCCCCCCCCCACAGAGTTACCAAGTTCAGCAGTAATCAAGCTGTCTTCTTTACGTGATCTTCCACTTCAACTGCAAGACTTCTACTATCAGGGCTTCCGTTTGGCTGCTATCTATCCCTTTCTGCAGCCACCTAATAAGAATGAGAAGACACTTCAGGAGCAAATCTTCAGGGCTGTACTGATCAAGAAAATGGAAAGGTAAACTGACAAAGAGATTTCCTGCTGAACTTTGACCCAGGTCAGAAATTATAGCAGTATCATGTTACTATTATTGCACTAAGCATGAACATTTCTATAGTCTTACCATGCTTTGTGTGTTTAAGAATCTGTAGATTGGCAGCATTGTCTGAGGATAACAAGCTGAAAATGTATTTCATATTTGAGTCAGCCTTGGGCATAAAGTTAGGAAAAATTTCTTATATATTTGTGCTTCTTATTGTGACAGTGTTATTTAGTTAAGTGCAGCTGGAAAAAGCATTTTGCTCTTGAATATTTTCAGTGTGTTTTTAATGGTAGGCAATAATGAAATGAAAATATTTCATATTCATATTAATCGAAATCATCTTTCAATTAACAATTTTTCAATTCTGTATCTGCATAAATCTTTTTTTTAAATAGGAGAATGGGTTGTCTTTGATTTTTGTAAAAAGAATGAATGTTGATATATGCAATGTTGAGAGATCATGAGAACATTTGAAAAATTAAATTAGAGTTACGAAAAATTCAGTGAAACTTGAGAATTTGATAAACTATATTTTTAATACCAATGACTCAGGAAATCTTCCTCATATTTTTTTTTTTGATAAAAGATGCACATTTTGGCAATCTCAAGAATTAGTTTGTAGGGTGATAAATACAATCTGTATATCACCTGTGCTAGTAAAATAAAAATTATATATTTTATTGTTCTTTGAAGAAAAAGATGAAAATATTAAAAATAAAAACACTATCATATTTATGCTTGAAGCAGCAAGAACATATGTAGCCCACAAATGGAAGAAAAATTGCATGCCAACTTTAGACATTTGATATTATAAATATTTCAATGGAAAAATTGAGAAATATAGGATACTCTGATAGTTTCTGCATGTGTGGTAATATATGACAGCATTGGTTCACTCCAGGTACTGTTGGCAAACTGTATCATCTTTTGGGATCTTGGAGATGGGCATTTTCAATGGCTGTGCCTTATACGATATTTTTCTTTGCACTCAGAGAGAGTACTATCTGCCACTACCTAGAGAAGCAAGTGTCTTCACCACTAGACCATCACACCACTCTTTATATGCAGCCCACTATATATGTGGCCCACTAAAATTATTTTTTGCTGCTTTCCAATATTTTTTTAAAAGTCAGTAAATTTACCACTGCAAAATATTGCCACTATCAGGGAAACCTCAAAAAATTCCTTCATCTCCTGATCTTGCCACCAAGATCAGGAGATGAAGGAATATTGCCACCTACTATTAACCACCAAAGAGCTGATTAGCTTATCAGGCATTCCTTTGCGACTAGTAAATAATAATCCTTCACCAAAGCTAGAAACATACCGTAGTTAGAAAATATTTGTCCTCAGTAACATGCATTTATGGGTGAAAGATGAGTAAGCATTTTGAAGGGGAGGGCTTTTATTAATCTTTTATAAAAAATAATTCTAAACTTCAAATTTTGACTAGCTTTCACAGCCAGAAGATATTTCTAGTTTCACTAAGGCTTAGGTCATGGGTTGGCAACCTGCGGCTCCAGAGCCGCATGCGGCTCTTTCAGCCATCTCCTGCAGCTCCTAGTCCGCAGCCGTTTTTAAAGTAAACAGATCTTTATCACAACTGCTAATTAAATGGCACTTTGTTGGGCCAATGCCAATCCCAGCTCTTTCCCATTCTTGCCCTAAAAGTGCATCAGATACATTTGCTACCTCACAAACAACTTTCTTTGAGATCCTTCTCTTCGCCATGAAAATGTCATGTTGCTTCACAGGTGGGCTTCCTTGCTTCTGGAGAGGCGCATCAATTTAAAAAAAGAAAAGCCTGCATTCACAAGTTCGGTTTTGCAAGGTGCCACCCTGAAGGGTGACCAAGAAAAGAAGGGTGCAAAGAGCAGTTAGGGTCCTGCAGATAGTGGAAGAGCCCGGGAACTTGCAGTAGGCCAGGAGAAGGGAGTGAGCACCCAGCCACTCCACCGCGCAAAGATGCCCAGCCCAAGAGAGAGCGCCGGGGGTGATGACAGCGCCTCCTCCTCCAAAGGGGCATCTCCCAGCTCCGAGAGGCAGAGGCAAGCCGCTCCGCTTCGCCTGAGGCTTACTTTCGCTTTCCAAAGCAGCCTCAGCATCACCTGGTCAGCGCGCTTGCTCGGGAGGAGCTCAGCCTGGATCAGCTGGTGGGCAGGTTGCGCGTCCTCCTAGCTGGCCGCTCTTCTCCCGCCGCCCCAGTTGGCATGCTTGCAGATTCCCCCAATCAATCAATCAATCAATCAATACAGCCAATTTTAAAGGTTGTCCAGATAAAAGGGAGAAAAGAAGCTGGGCTGGAGCATCCTGGAAAGGCGAGCAGGCAGCACTTCTGCACGGGCTGGTTGGGCTTTTGGCAGGTTTCGGCTGCAATTAAGGCAGGGCGAGGTTTTTGGCTTAGAGGAGGCTGAGGGGGGAGCTGCTTGTGGAGGCATGTGTCTGCTCACATAAGTGTGAATGTGTTTCTTTTGCAGGGAGGCTGCTTTGCTGAAGGTTATATCTTCCTTCGTTTTCCTTCCTTCCTTTTCTTTCTGTTTTCTTTCTTTCTCTTTTTTCCTTCCTTCCTTCCTTCCTTCCTTCCTTCCTTCCTTCCTTCCTTCCTTCCTTCCTTCCTTCCTTCCTTCTTCCTTTCTTGTCTTCCTTCCTTCCCTCCTTCTTTCTTCTCTCTCTCTCAATAAGCAAACAATCTGGGCTCTGACTGGCTGCTCCGTGCTTCCTCCTCCTCCTTCTCCCCCCCCCCACACATGTAAACTGCATGTAAAAATCCCACAAGATCTACCAGCAGTGTTTTTGCTCCTAAGTCAGCCTATGTCTTTGCACACGCACAGACTTAAAGGGAGGCTTCCAAACCTGATACGCATACACATGTGGATGTCTGCAACTGGTTGTTGCAAAAAATAGGGGGAAAGGGGGGAAAGGGGGTGTGACTATTTAAAGACTCCCACTTTTCCTTTCCTTCTTCCTCTTTGGCAGTGTTGACTTCTGCTCCTCCAATCCTGGCTGCTTCTCATGGTCCCTGCCTGCCAGCTGCTGCATTTGACTTTTCTTTCATTTGCTTGGTGGACTGGGGATAGAGGCGCTCCCCCGCTTCTTTCCATTCCTGCCACAGTGATTTCTGAGAGTGGGGAGCAGCTGCCTGCTGGGCAAGCCCCAAAAGCTTTCTTCCTCTCCCCAATCTTGCCTTTCTTGCTCGCCCTCTGATATAAGTGTGTGCTGGGTTTCCTCAGCCTCCCCCCCTCCCCATTTTATTTTAATCTCACCACCACCTCCATCTTTTGCAAAGTTGACATTCTGGGGACTCGGACCTTGCTCGCTCCCAGAGTCATTTAGCGAAGCCTGAAGGAGAGGCTGCCAGCTCCCACCTCCCGCGGAGCAGAACTGCTGCTTCCTCGCCCTCCCAGCGAAAGAACCTAAGAGAGCTGGAAGACGTCCTTTCTTCCACTATCCGCTTCTCATCCTCTCTTTTCCAAGCACACCTTCCAGAAACCAGTTGGTTGAGATTGCAAACCCTCTCCATATTCCCCCTGGCTCTGTGAATTCCAGCTGAGTTTTCCTCCATCCGTCAGCCAAAGAGGAGGAATGGAGCATCCCTCCCAGAGCGAGCCAGAAGTTTCAACTCTGGCCTCCTGCAGCAGGCTGAGATAGGTGAGCCCAAGTGGCCATCTGCTGCCGCCTCGGAAGATTTGCCGCAGCAGCTCCTTCTCCCCGTTGGCCTCATCCTCCATTCCTTGGAACCTTCGTGCCAAAAGGCGGAAAGAAGAAAGTCCCAGAGAGGGAGAGTGTGGGGCTGGGAGAGAGCAGTCTTTTCTGAGGGGAGGAGAAGCCAGGATGGCAGAGCCATCCATACCAGAGCCGGATGGGGGCAGGGCCAGTGCATGTCTCATCTTAGGCTCCATTCTTCAATCAAGCCCACTGTTCCCTGCATGCGCATCTGCGTGCGCATATTTTGCGGCTCCCAGTTTTTTCTTTTGTGAGGGAAACAGGTCCAAGTGGCTCTTTCAGTGTTTCAGGTTGCCGATTCCTGGCTTGACAATATGGCTTGACAATATGGCTACCAAGAGCAGAACATTCATATTCAAACTCTTATTAAATTACACAGCCTGTAACCTATGTAGACATAGGTGTTTAGATGTTTTTAGATGATATATTACCAAAGTAGAAGAAACACACAAGATAATATCTGCAGTAATAACAATACAAAAGGAGGTTTGGATGGACAGATTTCTGATTTATTTTCTTTATATAAAAAAATTAAATAGAAATCCTTTGTTTTCACTTGAGATGGTTTTCACAGGAAAACCTGTCATTGATAGCAGTTACATGTATGGCTATGGGTTACAAATATGGCTTCTTAGGTTCCTGCTTCGGCATACATATTTTCTAATGAAACAATGATTGAGATAGGAAGATCATTTTATTATTATTTATTTATTCAGAACATTCTGAGTAAAAAGGATTCCTCTCATTCAAAGAGGGAACCGCAATCCTCAGCTTTCAGTCCCTCTTATAGTTAACAGATCAAAGAAAATGCAAGAGAAAAGTTGATTGTATAAGACAAAAGTAACCCTCCTTTTGATAGAAAATCAGTTACATGGAATCAAACATGTTACATATTTGCAGCCCATAATATCACACATGCTCATTTAAATGAATTTTGATAAAAATGGGCATAAAATTTAGGATGTTAATGAGGAAAAAAGTCATGAAGAGACAAATCAAATATCAATTATCGCTAACAATCTCTCTTTTATCAGAAGATAAATTCCAGGTGTCCTATCCTGACCTGTGGAACAAAGACAGTTTTTTAATCTTGTAATTTAACAACGTTAGAAGTTATCAGTCAAACTATTAACATCATTTAAAAAAAAAATAAAAAGAAATCAAAATAAAATACAAAATACCTATGTTAGTCAGCAAGTACAACAGTATTACAAAGCCTATGTTGGTACTACAAAGTCCATCCTGTGTAGCC